CTCTCTCTCTCTCTCTCTCTCTCTCTCTCTCTCTCTCTCTTCTCCCCCCTCTCTCTCTCTTTCTGCCTTGCTTTAACTCCGTTACCAAATTTTTAAATATCGTGTCGATGTGCTTCTGTCTACTCAAACAAACGAACAAACAAAGAAACAAGAACATTTTCACCAAGGTACCTTTGTATACGTAGTGAGATGAAATTCTTTACAAAGCGCTCAATGAGGGCTTGTCCAATGAGTAGTATGGGCTCTTTGTCACAATTCCTTTACTGTCTCTGTTGGCTTACCTTTCTCGTTTCAATATAATATTATTGTATTTATGCGCTTTTAGTGTTTATCTAAAATGAAGCTTTCTTCAACAGATCTCTAACTTGTGCACTACCAGTACTACACATTTCCCCCTTTTACGCTATTTCGGTATAAATGACCCAACTGTTAATAATGTTTACAGGACCTGAATATGAAACTATGCCCGAAAACTGGAGACGTGTGTAAAAGGGAAGGAGGGACAGGTTGCGCTAGCTCTAGCAAGGCCGACACCCATCTGAAAGGACACGCACCCACCCCGCTGACCATTGACCTAAGGGGAAGTAAATGGTACAGGCCACTTTGTCTAGCAGATCTGGGTTGGATTCTGCGGCAACACGAAGCACAGTCAACACGGATGGTGTTTGGCAACACTGGGGCAGGTAGACAAAGTCAGGAGTGACTAATCAACTAATCAATGAATTTACGACATAGTATACATATAAATGTTAATTAACACATAAAAATATTGAACAATATCGACCTAACATCATGTAGTTGAAAGAATTGGCTTGAACTGATTTATTAACGTGAGTTTGCGTGAATGTTCAGAAGATCAAATCTCGAGTTTTGCTACTTTTAGACTTAACAACGCCTGCTTGATCCAAAGTACACCACTGAAGAGAAGTCTGTAACAGTAAGGCAAAAAGCATAATTGTACGATATCCCTAGCCAAGCCTCTCATAAAAACTCGATATTATTTACTCGGTACAGTAGTTCTTGAGTTTTAAATACATGAATTATATTACATATTGCAAGTTGTCGATCCTCATGAGCATTTACATTTACACAAGATGCAGATGAAGGGGTATAACAATCATAATAATAAATATATTTTAGGATTCACTTAATAGTGTCCCCTTGAAAAGAAACCCTGAAATCGAGAAAAGTAATCTTTTTAATTAGTTGCAGCGACAACTGTCTCTTTTCAATAAAAAAGTAGCAATCCCACAGTATTAAAACTCAGTAGAAATACCGCTATTTTTATCCATCACTTATGTTTGTGTTTTTACTTTCCTTTTTTTCTGTTAGGGATTTACAAGCATGAAGGTCCATTTGAAATCTACATTGACTTGCGAGCGGTGAAAGAGTTGCACAAAGTTGAGGTGAGTTCACATACTTTACCATTTCCACAGTAGCATACTTAGTACATGTGTCAATAGTTCAACTTTATAATTGTAGATTCACGTTAAATAAGCACAGTAGAATCGATTAAATACACATGTTTAATAAAAGGCCAATAAAAAAAAACCCAGAGAACTACCCCAAGCATCTTGACATGGGTAGTAAAAGACAAAATTAATATGCCAAGTAATTTTAAACTCATTAAGAAAGTTTTCCTGTATGCTATATTTTGTGTGCACACCACTGTGTACGTGTAGAAAGCTAATGCAAAGCGTTTTTGTGCGTGTGTTTTTTGTGAAGATAGCAAAGCAGAAATAAATTTAAAAGACGAATAAAAACTAAAGAAACAAAGAAATCCATCCCTAGGTTTCTTATGAAAGATAGTTTATAAACAGAGCAAGTGTAATATGAAAACGATAAACACGAAGTAGATTGGTGCTCATATGACCTTATTATGCAGTTGCGAGCGCCGTAAAGCCCTCTACTATATTTTTAAAAAACACGAAGTAGGAAGCAGTAGACAAGCAATGCAGACATGAGTGCGTACTGATGCCTCTAATGACAAAACGGATTTGGCTATATGATGATAATAATAATAATAATAATAATAATAATAATAATAATAATAATAATAATAATAATAATAATAATAATAATAATAATATAATAATGCAATATGAATAAAAAATAGTACATGTTTTTTGGTGCAATTACCCATGTTTTACATCATGCTCTATGACCTCTACCACTATTATTTAATGTCTGCACCAAGGACTGTCCTTTCAACTATCTACCTCCTTCAGGAAAGCGATACGTCCATTCTGTTTGGAGCGGGCACTACAATCACTAAGTTCAAGGACTACCTACAGACAGTGCAGCAGAAACCTGGGTTCCACTACAGCTCCAGGGTGGTCCGACATCTAAAAGTGGTGGCTAATGTACTAGTGCGGAATGTGAGTGCCTGTCACCTGTCGGTTTAGCATAAGGTGTCGTTGTTGTAGTTGTAGTAATGGTTGTTGATGTGGTTGTTGTTGGAAGTGATGTTGTTATTGTGAGAAGTAAAAAACAAGCACTACTGTCAAGAAATGTTTGGAATGCCTCTCACAATAAAATACTGAATTTGTTGTTGGTGTCTGACGGTGTTCCTGATGTTGTTTTTTGTTGTTGTTTTTTGTTGTTATAGACGTTGTTTTTTGTTGGTGTCTGTTTGTGTTTTTGTTGTTATTGTGGCTTCTTGTTATGTTTTCTGTGGGCGGGGGCATGTTTTTAACTTGAGTCTAAGATTCAATAACGCAGTTAATGCTGGTGTCATTTTCTAAAATAGATTTTTCTGTTTCTTTCTTCTTGAGGCCTTAACTCTTTACAGGGTCTTCGGGACTCGAACATGAAGACCTCTGTATTAAACAGTAATTATGCTTAGGCTACAGTTTTTCACCCTAGGTGAGGGAGGGCTTGGGTCTCTGCAAAGCATGCTTCCCTGACAACTCGTGACTTGGTCTGTCCATCGTTTCCTTGTCTCTTTTCTCTGCAAGATTATCCTGACTCGTGTTTTAGTGGGCTTTTTCATTCGCGGTGTGGTCCATATTGGATGTGGCTACAATGGTACCGTAGCATCATGAGCATAAGGACTCTATTTTCTTCCCTGCAACTGAACAGACATAAATAAATTTGTGTTGAACAAAGCTGGGAAATATAGGAATCTGATTTTCGAATACTCTATTGAAAACTCAAATCCCTTAATATGCAAAGATTAAACTTACTTGAACTTACGATAAGAACTGGATGAGAAATGTCAATTATCATCTCTGGTCCCTTCTGATGCTTATGAACATAAGGTAACAGGGCTGTGAAATTGCTCATTTTACTCACAAATGAATAGGAATTATAAATTGTTTATGTTTCATAATTTTTTTAAATATATTACATACTCCTCTTCACCTTTCCTCTCTGACCGCTCTTTCTCTTCGTCCCTTTGCCAACTTTACAGGCGGGATCTATGGCGGGGAACCTCATGATCAAACACAAGCACCCGGACTTCCCATCAGACCTGTTTACTATACTCACAGCTATTGATGCGCAAGTTGACATCTTTGGTGAGACGAAAGGAATGTTTTCTTTCTGTTGCTATCAATTCTGGTGCATTATTTATGTATGTTTATGCTGCCAATAAATGTAGTTTCTTTTGTAGCAAGATTTAAATGTTGAAATGCATGTATCGTTACAATAAAACACAGCACACTTGTTATTGTTTTGGTTCAATGCCAGGTGAATTTAAATACTGTACCTAAAAAGGGGTGTGTGAGGGTATACCAGGATACTATTCAGTGCAAACATCCCCTCTCCTCCCCTTTTGGATTTTATAGATATCAATATCCATGCTGGAATGATTTCCAGGATGTTCAGTACAGTAGGGTTTGTTATTGTTTGTGTTTAACGTCTCTTTAGTTTGTATAAGAGGCAAATGATTAGACCAAACAAGACCAAACACAATGCAAAAAAACACAGCCTCATCTCACGCATTAGTTTATGATAGGCCATGGTTTTTCTTATGGTCTTTTTTCTGTGTTCAGGTGATACGGATACTGGATATCAGTGATGTTAGGCGCCTATACCCTTTATGCTTTTTTAAATTACTTTTTTGGTTTTGTTTTGCTTTATCATGTTTTTAAGGGCTTGGGGAGGGTCCGGGTTATTCCTGTAGCAATTGAGACTAAAGCTATGCTCACCTTGAGCGAGTTTTTCTTCATGTTCAAATTTGATCTTTTAGTCCAAACTGTCATGAGCCAGAATGGAGAGAAGCCAAAGTTGATATAATATAGAATAGCGCCAAGTTCATTTGGATATCATATGCAAGCACACAATACGCCAGTCAATGTTAACGCTAAATCTCTTTCCAGCTCACCCCACCCAAAAAAGGGGACGAAACGGGGATAAAATAAACAACTACACCCATCCCTACCGTCCCCCTTCCGACTATAACCAAAATAAAGACTTAAACATTGAAATATTTATCAAATCCTCACACTCAGACTCCCAGTCATCCCAGACAACTCGGCATTCTATGATGGAGTTCTTGAAGGAGATCAACATGGATGGGAAGGTGTTGGTGGCGGTGGAGATCCCTGCTTTGGGAGAGAAAGATCATTACAGGTCGTTCAAGATCACACCCCGGTGGCAGGTGAGTTGTTCATCAAATGTCAGATCTGGAACAGACGTTGGCTTATAATAATGGTTGTGCTCGGGTGCATTTTAATAAACACCCGGACAACAAACAACAAAACAGTATTATTGTGAACATGTCCATCACCCACTGTACATGTTTTTATTTTACTCTTTCCATTTGACCTAATTTGTTCAAATCATCAACGTAAGTAAGTGAGTTCGTCGTTGGTCTTCCCCTGTCTCTTTTGCCTTCTATTTTTTTTCTAGGTGGCAAGTTAATGTTCCGAAATCGGCCCGCAGATTGAAAATTTGATTTTATTCTGATTATTCCATATTCTAAACGACAATCGTAAATAATATATCTTTAATCGCCACCATGAGAACGCTATTATGGATTGTTTACCGAACGAAAAAGATTGCATCGTTGTTTTACAGAAAAACCAAGGAGATTAAAAGTTCTAAGCTCCTTGTGAAAAACCCTGTAGTAAGGGAGGTGAATCATGTAACTATTTATGTACAACATCTGTTGAATTATCACCCTTAGTATAGGCCACTGCTCCTTCGCTTACAGCCTGTTCTCATTCCCTCCCCCACCCCTTTTTAAATTTGTATTTTCCTTTTCCCACCTTCATTTCAACCACTCACAACTATTTGTCTATCTGTCTGTCTGTTTTTCTGTTTGCCTGTCTGTTTCTTTGTCTATTAATATGCCTGTCGAGGTCAATCCGAGCATAAAGATATACAAACGTCCGAGCAGACAAACGAGGACACTCGATAAAAATTATCTCGGGTCTGGAATCGAACTCAAGTCTTCTGCATGCGAGAGCTTAGTAACAATCCAGCACACCCAAAAACTGGCAAGGTGTAACTCTGGTAAATAATCTTACTCTGTATAGATTAGAAGACATGCGGTGGGTCGTTATCTTTACTACTTAGAACAAAAAAGAAAACATTAGGAAAGGGACAAAAAGAAGTTAATAAAACGCAGCAGCAGATTGTACAGTAACGACACAACTGAATAAGTAGCATTGCAGATCAATTTAAAATGTAGAAATTAAAAGGTTGGTTTGAAATATAATTGGAAACGGAGTACACTTTCAGCTTTAAACTCCTGTCAATTCGAATTGAAGTGGAAATTCGCAAAATTTTTAAAACCGTATAGTTTTGGACAATTATCTGTAACGAACTGTAGCCTAACGGTCAAGACCGTGGAAAATGTGACGAAAGAAATCCCCCCTTGTCGGTGTCTTTGCTTGTTTGTATGAATATATATATATATATATATATATATATATATATATATATATATATATATATTATGTGTGTGTGTGTGTGTGTGTGTGTGTGTGTGTGTGTGTGTGTTGTTGTTTTTTTGTTGACAATAATTGTGTTGTTCTCTTTTTCCAGAACGCGCATGCTTACGTCAATGCTGCCTTCAAAATAACGGTGGACGGGAGAAGAGTAGTCGGGAAGCCAAACTGTGTGTTTGGTGGCCTGAATTCAGAGACGGTGATGCAGTGTATCTGTTCACGTTTGTGTATCCTTTACTTTGTTTAAGGAGAAAAAAAAACATGATATAAAAATAAGGGTATAGGGAAGGGCGGGGAGACGCACAGAAAACACCTGACCGAAACAATAGCAACTGGCCTACCGTTGTGCTTTCCAACAACTCACTGTTGTGGTACGATCGAATAGAGAACTACGAAATAACAAGTCATGATTGCTGAATTAACATAAAAGATGACTTTTAAGTCTGTTTCAGCTTTTTTTCTTTGAGACACATTTAATAGAAAGGGTTTCATTGCGTATTAGTCTTATTTACATCTTTCGTTTACCAGCTTGCGTTGATAGTTGGAGGCACCCATCTTATTCTTGAACCATTCTGGATCATAGACAGGTGACACATGGTCAAAAAAATTTACAGGAAAATGCGGAACTGTACAGCAGAATTTTACGCAAAAGCGATAAAAGCACACCCAAGACGGTGAATGATATAATTGTCATACTCGTACCTTCCTAAAAAGGAGTATTTTATTTGTCTTTTGCATTTAACACTATAAACGCTGTCGTTTACAGTTCTTTAGTATCTCATAAAAAGGAAGAAAATATTTTTAAACAACATTCACTTATACTACTTTTACACCAAAAATTCAACTTTCAGGAAATAGTCTTCTATCTATGCACCCCCAACACCATACGGATTTTGGTTTCTTTTAATCTTTTTTTTATAAAAATCGATTAAATTTTTTTAAAACCTACTTTGAGAATCAATCTTTGAATGAGTAAGTTTTACGAATTCTTTCTTGGCTTGATACTTTCTGTTTGTGACTCTTGTTGGCTGATCACCTTTTCAACTTAAAAATGATCACAATAGTAATATTTTTTTAACCCACAGTGCTAAGGCAATAGAGTATAATATCATTATACCATTTGATCGCTGAAAACTTAGTAGGTTCAACGCATAATGACAACCCTTTGAGAAAATATCTTTTCATATAAATGTATAAGTATAATTTATATATTATTTTATTATACATAAATAATAAAATCTCTGTCTTATTTTCAGGTCAACGTCACCGCAGCTGAAGACTTTCTCAAGGACAAGGAACTCAACAATGCTGTTATTACACGTGAGGACGGTCGTGTATATACAATTAGCACAGAAATGTTGGTAAAGAGAAAACATTGTCTGTGAAAAGCAAAAACATGACACCCGTGAGGGAACCACATGAACATAGCTTAGAGTACAATATGGGATACTGAACTCACGATAGTACACGTATGAGGCTCAGTTCTACATAAACATCATCACAATTCAGATGTTTGAGATTTATATTAAATAGAAAGAAAGGAAAAAACAACTCAGGAATAAAAAAGGTTTGGGGTAATGGGAGACTGTTGCTATGTTCCCTGCAATGATTTCCCTCTGCTTGATTAAAAAAATGAATAAACACAGACTCTCTCTCTCTCTCTCTCTCTCTCTCTCTCTCTCACACACACACACACACACACACACACACACTCACAGAGAGAGAGAGTGAGAGAGAGAGAGAGAGAGAGAGAGAGAGAAAGAGAAAGATTCGAACACTCATACACACACAGACAGACACAGACACAATAGCACGCACTCACTCACGCACCCAGGCACGGGCACGAAAAATACTTGAATACTCAAATAACATTGGGAAATAGAGAGTTCAGTTCCAATGCAATATCAAAGCACAGTTTTTTAGTAGCGCCCACAAAAACACGGTAAAAATAAGACAGGCCGACAGGTATACAGACAAATAATATATAGATTGGGAAAGAAAAACCAAGACGGAAAAAATGGAAAGAGAAAGAAAGAGAGGAGAGAGAGAGAGAGAGAGAGAGAGAGAGAGAGAGAGAGAGAGAGAGAGAGAAAGAGAGGGAGAGAGAGAGAGAGATAGAGAGATAGAGAGAGAGAGAGAGAGAGAGAGAGAGGGGGAGAGAAAGAGGGAGAGAAAGAGGGAGAGATAGAGGGAGACAGACAGACAGACAGACTGACAGACAGACAGACAGACAGACAGACAGACAGACAGACAGACAGCCAGACAGAGAGACAGAGACAGAGAGATGGTGGGAGAGAAAGAAAATAAATGATATGCATTTATACTGATTGTTGGATGATTTCTTCACCTACGTTACTTTTCAGAGACTCTGAAGATTCTGTATAGTGAAATTGATCCAAGCTGTGATCCCATCCTTTCGTCTCCCAACTACAGAAAAAATCTTGCAGTCAACCTATTATACAAGGTAATTGTCAGTGTTCACTTGCGTGATGTCTATCCAATTTTGCATGAGACTATTGCGAAAGTGTTGCTAATTTGGCATTTGCTCGATCCGATTATCCAAAATCAAAATAGGTCACTGTCTTTACATTTCGAAATCTCATTAAACTTGTAGCAACAATTGGAGATCTTGAGCTCAAAGTACAATGACATATCAGGCGCGAAGGTAATTGGTCATTTTAATCCCTTTTCTAAAGGGATAGATATTATTGTTTGACTTTGACCAGAGTGCAATTGCGAGCCCAACTTCCCGGCATAACTCGATCTTCTAAACCATACGAGGCGGGGGGGGGGGGTCTCTCTTGACCTAGAGGTAAAGGTGTTCCCCTCTCTTTCAATAGGTCCCGGGTTCGAATCCGGACAGCAATGAAAACATTTTCTTTGCTAAAATTTTCTCATTTCACATCATTGCCTGCTCTTAACAATGTTCTGTCCTCTGCTTTCGTCTCCACTTTCTCCCCCCCCCCCCCCACACCCTCTCACCTCTTTGCCCCCTCCTGTGTGCTCCCAACTCTTTCTGCAGCCCTCCTACTGCTACTCCTTGGCTCCTTCTTACTAATGTCTTTCAGCCATTACCCTGATTTTATGGTAGGTAAGATCAACACCTAGCTTTCTCGGACAAGGGCGAAAAATCTCGGAGGTCCCGGGTGCAAGTTGCGCACATTAAAGATCCCTTGGCGGTTCAAAACCGATTAGAGTAGGTTTCGGCCGCCACCCGGGCAAAATTCAAAATTTCCTACCAACTGAAAATGTTTAAAGTGTCTCGCGCGCTCATATGACCATATGTAGTTGCGAGCGTCGTAAAACACTTACCGAATTTTAAAAAAAATAAAAATTTAAAAACCGTACAAGTTTAACACGTGCTTGTTTTGTTTTATCCTTTCCTCGGTTTGTTGGAATGCTACAATGACATAATGTTATTCATATTTTAACTACGCGCGCTCGTATGTCCTCATGCAGTTGCGAGCATCGCAAAACTCTTATCAAAACAGCCAGACGCGAGCTCATCACCAAAAAGAGCGTTTGTCTCTTTTTTAAATTTACTTTTTTGATAGAGAGTTTTAGCTATCATATTAGGACCTTGGGAGGAAAACAGTATACATCACAGGGAGGCCTACCGTTTGGACTATGCATCATTATGAACTCTGTTCCTTCAGGCGACTGCACTGTCTTTAAAAAATGTGTCACTTATACGTGAGTACAACTGCTATGGTAAAACTGGCATTTCACAGAAAAAACGAGCCAAACAGGCAGATCGTCTTGCTTTTAGATTGTAACTAAAACCATATGTCCCTTGTACTCTTTGTTATACTATTTGGCCGCTCGTTAAAACGTTGTACCTAAGAGAGAAGCCCGACAGCTGTGTACAGATGACGCTTTTAAATGCTAAAAGTCTGTCAAACTCTTCCCAGTCTTAATTGATCCCACTGGCTAAAGCAGAAGCCTCAAATAAATGTAATCCTAGTATCTGTCACTTTTCTTTTAGATATTCCCCTCCGCAGATACACCAGTTATCATCAGATACTGACAGACGAACATTTACTAATATAATATCTAATTTAAAACCCTATTATAAACAAACGTTTCGTTTTAAAGGCTGAGTGAGCTTTTTTTAGTCCAATAAATGAATGTTAAACGTAATCGGGCAGCGACCAGACATAATCTAGTGGAAAATACCGTGTTATGAACCCGCATGCCCCCTCACAGGCACTCCTGGAGATCTACAAGCCTTCGAAGCTCTCGCTGCAGAGTGGCGCAGACAGCATGGAGAGACCCCTATCGGTTGGCCTGCAGACATTCCAAGAGAAACCTGAGGACTTCCCCTTGAAGAAACCTACTCCGAAAGTCACGGCTCCGTTACAGGTGAAGTTTCTGGTTTAGTGGTTCAGCCTCACAATCTAAAACAACAATGTCAGTTCATATCTTCTAAAAGTAAGTAACGTATTCACATCCATAAGATAATGTTATAACACAACCAGACCTCGTTGAAACCAGTGTTCTGGTACCTGTCAAATAGCTTACATCTCCAATCAGCTAAAAGAGAGTGAGGAAAGGGGGAGGGGGGTGAATTTGTGAATTTGGGTACTTGAGAGAATAATTTCGAGACAGTGATTGGCTGTAAATTCCTGTTTTCGAATCATAGATGCAGATTTTTAAAAAAACAAACACAGTATACTTAATCCAAAAGTGAAAGAGAAAAAGAGCTGTAACGGTATAAAAAATAGATATCTTGTGCCTTTATAAACACATAGTCAACCCAACACTTTTGGTCAAAAGGGAACGAAAGTAATCAGAAGATCGTGATCTCTATGCAGGCATCTGGCGAGGCTGTGTATATCAATGACATTCCCACCTACCAGAAGGAGCTCCACGCAGCTTTTGTCATCTCGGACGTCGGACCGGCCAAGATAGCCAAAGTGGACGCCTCAGCAGCTCTGGTATGGAAGCCTTGCTAGTATCTTCTACAATGTAAACAAAAGCTAGCTAAAGCTGGCATTGCTAAACCGGCTCAGTCCTGAGTTTGTCTTGTACTTTTTTCCAGATTTAAAATTGTCTGACCTCATGTTCTCATTTGTCTATATTTTTTTTGCCTTGGTTTTGGGTTTTGTCTATCTATCTGTCTGTCTGTCTGTCTGTCTATCTGTCTGTTTGTCTGTTTGTCTGTCGGTTTGTTTATTTGTTCGTTGTTGCTTTTTTGTTTGGGTTTTGTGTGTATGAGGGGGGGGGGGGGAGAGGGGTTCGGCGGTTGTTTTGTTTTTTCTGATAAAAATTGTATACACCTGTTCTCCTAAATATTTTTATAGTAAACGTCATATTTTTCTTACATATTTTGTCTCTTGCTTTTTTCTCTTGGCGAATTAACACGCCCTGAATCTATATGAATCGAATCTAACAGTCGAATCTTTTATTATGAACATTCTCAACTTACTAGAATAATGTGTGGCATGGCGGTGGCATAATGAGGAGTTCGTCAAAATAACGAGATCTATATAAAAAAAAAAAAACCACATTATGTTTTCCCCCGTTACAAAAATGTTATCGATTTTAATCTCTTTGCCTGAGCGATTTTCATGTGCATTAAAAAGTACATTTCTGGGGGGGTGACAGGGAAAACGCTGATCAAATTCACACAAAAATATGTAAATTTGCCGTTTCCAAGGACACTCAAGTTTTTTAAGCCCCCAAACTATGGAAGCGACTTTCTCACTAATTTTACCTCTGACACAAGGCGACTCCTCTCACTCGCAAATATATAGACTTCTGTTCCAGAAAGATGGATTTTTTCATAAAAAGCAAGACAAATGAACAAGCTTTACTGGGATACCAAAATTTTCATATTATTATGCCAGAAGAGTGATCACTGACGCATGTGTCAAAATGTTTAAGCCGTATCTTGGAATGAAAATGAGAGATGTTCGAGAAAGACCCTCTATTGACCCTTACGGGCCGCCGCGGGTATTGGAAGTTTACGTCCTTTCAGCAAGAGCCGAATTTATCCTGCTGATGCTGCTTTGGCAACGCCAATATCTCATATTATTATGCGTATGGACAACATTTTTTTTTCCTTTGCAGCTGTTCTATCTTTTGCCCTGCTTCCTTTTAGCTGCACCTGCTGCTGACCGAGATTCTAACCTAGAAAAAGAGAGACCTCAAACCCCTCGATCAGAGCGAAGCAACCTTAGGAAGTGTTCTATTTCTGTCGGGACGAACGTTACACGCTTACAAAAACAAAAACAAATAAAAGCTCGCTAGGCTATTTTCTTTAGTTTTTATACAGCGTTACGGGAAGAGAGATTGCATATTATACTGCTTCACATGTCGCTCTGTTTTCTTTAGCAGAAAGCTTTTCCCGTAGAGAAAATTTGTAAATGTTATTATGCTCTACTTGCAGCTACAGGGAGTGTATCTGGCAAAAAAAGAACGTTTTCGGTTTGCTTGTTTTCGTGATGTTTTTTTAAGGGAGTTTGTTAGTTTGTTATGTTCTTCCTAGTGTTACTTGAATTGAATCGATCGTTTCTAGAATGAAGTAGTTGGCCCAATGGTTAGAGTAAAAAAAAGGGAAAAGGAACTGGAAAGACAACACACACCAAAATAAATGTCAGACTTGTGTATCTGGGAGTGTAGAAGTGTGTGTGTGTGTGTGTGTGTGTGTGTGTGTGTGTGTGTGTGTGTGTGTGTGTGTGTGTGTTTGTTTGTTTTTTAATGGAGGTGTTTTATGCCCCCGTCGACATAATTTAGATCATTTAGGAGGCGGGCTTCCGACCCTGCCTGCCAGGGCCATCTCGGGCTGAGAGGGATTAAGTAACCTGAGAAAAGACCGAGATACTTAATAGAAGTATCTCCCAACTTGGGAATAAAACTCGGGTTTCCTGCTTGTGGCATCGAAGCGTCTAATGGCTACACCACAGACGCCGGTTACCAGACGATCGTATGTGTTAAAGAGGGAGTCTGCAATAACTGAAAGTTATCATTCAAATGCAGAGTTATTCCATCACAGCACAGGATACTCGTCTATGAAAAAAATAATACTGTACTTATATATGTTTCAGATTAGAAAACAATAACATCACTGACTTGCTAACAACAGGCAGCCACACCCGTATGGTCTTTTCTTTTTGAATTTCAAATTTACCGCTACTCTAAGATCAGCAGCATTGTAAAAACAAAAAAGAGGTTAGTGGGCCTTATCATCTGTAAACATCAATATTAACGATATCGACAAAGACAACAGGAACAGTATTAAAAAAAACAAGTATTCACATCGTCCTATAACTTTGCGTCCGGTGATAAAACCTCCTGAATACTTATTATATTGGCGGAATTAATTTCACACAAATGGATAGGCGGGAATTGACTTCAGACAACCCCTGTCTTTTCATTGTAGAATATTCCTGGAGTGGTGAACTTTCTGGGAGCTGCTGACATCCCAAGAGAAGGCGTCAACAATAGCGTTCCTGCTAACCCTTTGCTTCAGTGGACTGAGGAAGTGAGTAGAGTTACTGGGGTGGTTGTTTAACGTTAGTTTTTTTTTCCAAAGTTAATAGAGTAGTAAATAGGTTACTGTGGAAAGCAAAGACTTGTTCAAAGTATCTCCACCCCCCCCTTCCTTGACGCGTGTGTTGTCGGTTTAGAACTCTTGATACAGGCTTTTGAGGTGAAATTTTTTTTATTCCAACTGGCTGCTTATACCTATCATAATATAAAGGTCAATATAACCTCATGTCGTTGTTAACTGACCGGAGCGGAAGAATAGTATAAGTTTCTGATTTTGTTTTTGGCAGTTACGGTTGAGTTCAAAAATTACGATCGCTTTTGTTATAAGGGTCATAATATTTTACTACGTCTAAATCTGAGTCTTATTCATATTTGCCTGGTTGTCCTCATCTCTCTACTTGATCAGCTGTTTGCCTCTGAGGTTGTCGAGTACGCCGGTCAGGGTATCGGAATCATTCTTGCAGGTTAGTATAACACATTTGCAATACTTTTATAATTGCATCAGTCTGTGTTTTGTGTTAGCAATTTAGTGTCTTCACATAATTTTCTTCAGCCCATCTCCACTCTCTATCTTTCCTCATCACCACACACCACTCGCACACAATATTATTGATCTGGCCGTAATGTCTCTTGTCATAGCTGTGTCTGACCTCTTTTGATATCTCAAATCCTCTCTCTCTCTCTCTCTCTCTCTCTCTCTCTCTCTCTCTTTCTCTCTCTCTCTCTATGCCTTTATCTCTATCTTTATCTCCCTCTCTTTCTCTCTCTCTCTCTCTCTCCCTCTCTCTCTC